AACTAAATGGTCTAAGTCCCATAGCGATGTCAGCATGCACCGAATTCAGCATCCAAGCGATTACCTTTCCATTATTCAAATTTCAGCGATCCAACTTTTTTCATTTGTTAGCAGACCAGCAGAACCATCTAACCACCCAAAAAGGCCCTTTCCTTGAACAAAAATTCCAAAGTGGAATTCCATAGAGAAAAATTGGAACCATTCAATTTTGTGGAGAGCAAATCGTGCGAGGATGATTGTGAATTCATTGAAGAGACAAAATACAAGAGAGAAAGAGAAAAAAAAGGACAGATGCCTGTGTATAGAAAACAAAGAGACAAGAGGAACGCATGAAGGTAACAAGGTACCTGTGTAGAGAAAGCAAAGAGCACAATTTTTTTTTTAAACGATGGCTCTTGATACCATGCTAGAGAGACAAAAGATATTCTAAAAAATAATTTTCTCTATTCATCATGATACAGTAGAAAGCAAATATTTATAGCTATACAATTGGCGGGTTAGAGTTCTATTCTACGAAGGAGTATATATGGTTATAAATGTATATTCTGTAAATCAGTCCTATTCTAAGAAAGAACATATTTTTTGATTACTATACAATTATAGCTTTTCCTAATAATAAAAACAATGTAGATTTGATGTATCATCAAAATATTGGAAGTTGATACAAAGCCAAAAAAATTGATACTTTAGATTTTTGTAGACTAATTTGGTAGTAATTTGTTCCAAAGAAAACTACTGACAAAATGACCTTAGAGGATTTTAGTGTTTGGATAGTAATTTTTTTAAATAAAACAATCATTAAAGAATTAGTCAAAAGAGACATTAAATAATTTTTATTCAAAATCGCGCATTTTAAATAAAGGGTCTCATCAAGTACGAATACCCGTCCTTAGCCACGATATAATAGTTTGGTTTAGACATCGCCGACTGAATCGCATAAGAATGTATCTATTTCGTAATAACCCAATTTTACATTCGCCTTTAATATTGCACTATTTGGGGATTTGAATCCGGATCTCTTCCAATTCAGGCCACGCATATGAGAACTTATCAACTACTGCGTCTATGGTATTCATTCGATGTACTTCGACTTCAGTCCATGTAATTCTAGGAACACCATTATTATAACAGAGCTTTTTTAATGGGAATAGGTTCAATGGTTGAATTGACTTGATTCTTCAAAGGAATTGTCTCGCGATCACTAACTTCAGTACGCAAATTTGTGGGAGTGATAGGCAAACTAGGATCGATTGTATTGCTTAAAGAAGGTAGGACCAAAGGTGGGAAGTCGGTTACATGTTGATGGTCAGTTGAGGCTGAGCAGCCATCCGCAACAATATCAGTAGGGTCATTCTAAGTTTTCGTAGCCGCCGTGAAGAGTGAATTAAATATGTCCTATGAAGAGTTTTTAAGTTAAGATTTAGCTTTTTGACTTTTAGTTTTTTTAAATTATTTTATTTTAAAAGTAAGTGCTTAGAAGTAATTTTTTTAATCATACTCAAATACCATAAAAATGCTAAAAACTATTTTGGTTTAAAAAATACACAAAAATAAATCAAATCAAACAAGTTCTTAGACATATTGTCGAACACTTTCGTTGCAACAATTTTGTTTAATTTAAACCATAGTAGAATTAGTAAAGTGAATTTTCCTATCTACAAACAAGTGGTTCTTCATCATTGTAGAAACAATGTAGATTTGATTTATCATTTGAATATTGGAAGTTGATACAAAGCCAAAAAAAATGATGATTTGGATTTTTGTAGACTAATTTTGTAGTAATTTGTTCCAAAGAAAATTACTGACAAAATGACCTTATAGGATTTTAGAGTTTGGTCAGTAATTTTCTCAATAAAAAAATCATTAAAGAATTAGTAAAAAGAGACATTAAATAATTTTTATTCAAAATCACGCATTAAAAAGATAGATTTGGAGTTAACAAAAAATGTATACACCGCCGTCTGTGGGGATCGAACCCACGACCACGTGGTTAAAAGCCACGCGCTCTACCACTGAGCTAAGACGGCTTATATATTATATTAAATTTTTTATATTATATAAACCGTTCACTTCTAGCTTTCATATAGCTCAGTAATAAAGAAGAAACTTTAACTATTGTCCTTTTCCGAATTTAAATTTTAGATATCCATACAACGATTAAAAAAAATTCTCTACCAAAACTACATAGCATTTATTCATAAAAAAAAGATTTGTTTGATTATTGTATTGTAGGAAATTTAGGTCAATGTATCAAATAAAAGTAGATCAATCTACTAAAATTAGGAAAATATTATCAATCTAGACACCAAAGTCTTAATTAGCTATATTGATAAAAAAGAAAGAAGAGGAAATACATAAAATCCCCCTTAAACTTGTCACCAAAACTTACTTTAGCACTATAACTTCAGGTGCATTTAAATACCCCCTTAAATTACTTGTAAGTGAATTAAATAACACCTTAATGACTGACGTGGAAAATTAAAAAACACTAGGCGCGTAAATAGCAAAAAAATTAAAAAGAAAAAAAATTGGGTCCCACTTTGTCTTCATTCAATGACTCCCTGTTTCATATCCTCTTTCTCTCAGATTGTTTTAACTCTCTCTCTATTCCCTCAACGGAAAAAGTTCTTGATGACAACTAAATGCAGGCTAATTCAATATTGCTCAATCATGAAGGACATCACCGCCACCCCTCTTGTTGCTCTCTCATCACTGCTCCATAAGAGATCAGGTGCCGTGAAACCACCCGATCTCATCAAAAAATTTCACCACGTCGGTGACTTGGACAAAACGCCGGCCATACTCGTTTCCTTGGCTTTCTTCCATTTCTCCTATTTTCTTTTCTTTCTTTTTATGTGTTCTCGTTTTTTGGGAAATCATGGTAAAAGGTTTGAAAACATTCAGATATGTCAATCTTAAGCCTAATATAACAACAATGACTCCGACAATTGTTGTTGAAGTAGTCGCCGTCAGTTGTCGTTGAGCTCTAGTAACTTCAGCTTCAATGGTGATAATATATGTATAGCTTTATTTCTTTGTTTGACACACAATATTCGTCATATTATTAAAAAATCATGTTGTGTGTGTTAGTGTTCTACCCTAGCGAACTTTTAATTTTAGTATTGTAATGAAGAAGATGAGTAACAGTGAAAATGAGAACAAAGTATATGGAAGAAGAAAAAAATGAAAACTAAAAACAAAAAATGATGTGGAAAAGGAAAAAAAAAACTAAATTTTTTCACCATCTGACATGTTGTCAACGTGTCACTGAGGTGGCGCTGATTTGGGGCGCGTGTATATCACCTCCCAACCACAAAGTTGGTATTGTATGTATAAGGTGGTATTTAATTCACCTGAAAGTTCTTTAAGGGGTACTTAAACATCCGTAAAGTTACAGTGCTAAAGTGAGTTTTACGGACAAATTTAAAGGGGATTTTATGTATTTTCTCAAAAAAAAAAACTACTTAGTCTAAAGTGGATAAAATAGATCATTGTACTTTTATTCTCACCCAATCTAATTAATGATTTAAATTTGTTGACTGATTATTTTTTTCACATTCATACCCCCAAAGAATTTCTACACGAGTACATGACGTAGCTTTGTACTACTTTCAAATTATGATATTTTTTATGATTTATTAATTTGTAATATTTGTTTCATGGAATTTTTATTATTATTTTTTGTTAATTTTTTTGTGTCACCACTCATTTCATATTTTGTGTTATTTTCTTAAAAAATATCTTAGATGGTTATATTTCGGTAGGACTAAAGATATATTTAAAGTACACGTTAGTTATATGCTTGTATGAATATTTTATCGGAAAAACCTGAAAATTCGAGAAAAAAACCATGGTTGAAAAAATCGAGTTTTACTAGTTTGATTGGTTTATAGATTTTAAAATCCAACATAATTTGATATTTGAAAAAATTTGACCCAATCCGATCATGTGCACCCCTACCTTTTCCTTTTTCACATGTATCTGAGTTAGCGTTTGATTATAAATTTTCAAATATTTTTAAGAAACTAAATTTAAGCGATGTTTTGAATTGAAATTTTAACATGTATTTGATCATAATTTTTAGAAACATATTTCATTTTTTAAGAAAATATGAAATATAATTTATACTTAAAGGTTTTAAAAACTATCAAAAATGTCTATAAATTTGGCACAAAATCATCATTTTTATAATGAACTTAATAATACATTATTCAAAAGTAGTCATTGTGAAATATGTCTACACCACAACAAATTACTACTAAAATAATTAGTCCCAACATTTCATGTCGCAGAATACAACATAACAAAATGAAAATAATGGTTAACTCAATTATTTTGTAAGCCGTTAAATCATTTAACTTAAAAGAAAATTCGATCATATGAACAAATATCTTGTAAACATTAAGGTTAGGCAAGTAATTAAGGCACAATCAAAAAAAATATTAGCTAAATAGTTTTAGATAAATTGTTACTTGATAGTTATAGTTATCTCGAAGTAGATATCAATTTCAAGAAATTAGGAGAAATGTTAGAATATGTATCCCCAACCTCACCTTATTAAATTATATAATAAATTATTACACACATCAAATCAAATTCATGTAAATATTTACCGTGGTGAAAGTCAATCATTTTGGACAAAGAAAAAAAGACAATCACGTGATGAAGTAAATCACGGGTATGTAAGTTTTATTTAAAATAAAGACAAACAACAAATCAAAAAGGGCCATGTCAGATGGATGAAGTTCCCGATAAAAATTATATGGCTTCGAACACAACTATAAAATACGAAATTAGTTATGAAATTTGTCCATAATTTTAACTAATTCAACTAAAAAGTTGTTGGCTAATTTATACTTTTTAATATGTCACCAATTTATTATAGCTAAATGAAATTAATATGAATTTTTTACTATTTAACTATAAAATTCTATTGAATCGTTAGTTTTTTATTTTCTAGTAGTATATATGTATATATAACACATAGGCCTAAACTCTTTACTCCACGCTAGTTTTAACAATATTATTACTACACTATGGGGAGATTAAGTTTATTAGGTTCACTTATTTTAACTCACTTAGTGTGTCTTCAAGTTGGAGTTGTTTGTGGTGCTACCAATGGAAAGAAATTGGTGACAGTGTTGAGCATTGATGGAGGTGGAATTAGAGGCATTATTCCTGGAACTCTTCTTGCCTTTCTTGAATCCAAACTTCAGGTATCTACTCTTTTAGGTTGTTGCTCTCCCTATCAATTTATATAATGGTGTTTAATCGAAGACGCGAAGTTTAAGCAAGAAAGATGGATTCACAATCAGAAAATATGAAATTAGCTACTAACTTTATTGATAATCCATAGTTAACGTCACTAATTAACTACAAACTTTATTGATATTCCCGAGAAAACATGATTTTTCTTATAATTCATTGTTAATTCATAGTTAAATGAGGTTAGAATAAGATTTTTGTTGTTTAGCTGTGAAGTTTTGTACGTCGCTAGTTTCTTGTTATCTTGTAGTGATTCTTGAATATGGTTTAAGTAATGAATATTTGTGTGGTTATTAAAAAAAAAGTAGGGATGAAATGAGAAAGTTATAGTCAAATTGATTTTAAATACTATATTTGTTTTAGTTTATATGTCATACTTTCATTTTTAGTTTGTTTATAAAAGTCACTTTATTTGTATTTAGTAAAATTTTAATTTCAACATATTATGTGACATGTTTAAGACCATCATTAAAATCTAAAAGACCTCATGATACATTATACACACAATTATCAATTTAAGACTATAAAGTTTAAAAGTCCTTACTCCTTGTGATCTTAAACTTCATACTCAGACAAACTAACACAAATAAAATAAAGCAAAAGGAAGTACAAAAACACTATCATTTGAAAAGTCAGGATAACGAGTGCTCTGCCCATCAGGCGATAGGAGCAACATGCAAGTGATTGGTAAACTAATAGCCCAGTGAACCTGGTGGGACACTCGAAGAAAAGTGAGCCACACTGAGCAAGTATGAGAAAATGGCCATGCTCCGGTTAATTTCTTAAAAGCAAGAACCATTACCGGAGGTCAACCCAAGGATTAATGGAAGTGGGAGCTCGTCCCCATAGGGGGTTGTAGCTTATGTTTTTCATATAGTTCTCAGATCGAATGATTGTATGAAATTAAGTCGATACTTACATATACTATTATGAATAAGGCATGAAACATCTATACTGCAAACTATTATTGCCACCTTATAGCCTAACAAAAGCGTGGTTCTTTCTTTATCTGCTTCCACCTTTTTTGATCTTTATGTTATTTTAAGCATATAAAAGTTAAAATTTTAATAGATAGACTATATTAGTTGTATAATTTCTCTTACATTATCATTTTGTATATAAGTAAAATTTATAATCTAATATTGATCCTCAACATATAACATATATATATATATATATATATATATTTGATTATGGTAGGAGATTGATGGACCTAATGCAAGAATTGCAGATTACTTTGATGTGGTTGCGGGAACAAGCACAGGTGGACTAATAACCACTATGCTCACAGCTCCAAATAGGGATAATCGTCCTTTATATGCAGCAAAAGATATTTCTAGCTTCTACATGGAGCACTGCCCTCACATCTTTCCTCAAAGCCGGTAAATTATTTTAATCGCGAGTCGTATTTATGTAACGAGTTCAACTGAACAAATTACTTTCATCTTGAGTCACTTATATTATATACATATGCAAGAGAATTTTAAAAATATATAACTATAAAGTATATCATATTCATTTTTGTTAATGTTAACTTTAAACTCTAAATTCATCTATGCTTTTAATGATGAATATACTCATGAGAAACAAGTTCTTTTTATTGTAATTATATACTCTCTTCGTTCTTATTTATTTTTCACCCTTTTACCGTATACATGCAGGCGTAAAAACTTTGTGAATAATATTGCACATTTGTTTGGAGGACCAAAGTATGATGGAGAGTACTTGAGACTATTGGCTGATTCAATATTAGGGAACCTTACTATAAAGCAGATGTTAACTCATACAGTAATTCCAGCTTTTGATATCAAGCGCCTTCAACCCATTATCTTCACTACTGTTGATGTATACTCATCCCTATCTATACATTTTCTCGATATTTATAAACTAGATTACTCAAAGATATTGAACTGTAATTATTCTTATATTTTTACGCCGCAAACATAATGGTTATTGTTATTGAAAATTGATTATAGGGCAGAACAAATGGTTTAAAGGATGCCCTACTGTCAGACATCTGCTTGAGTACCTCTGCAGCCCCAACTTATTTCCCAGTACACTATTTTGAGACTAGGGATTCTGCAGGGAGAATCCACACATTTGATCTTATTGATGGAGGTGTAGCTGCAAATAATCCTGTGAGTAACTTGTCATCTTATTCGTTGTTATAATCATTTGGTACGAGGAATAAGGGATAAGTAATCGTAGCTAAATGGGATTAGCATGAGATATTCACTGTTTAGCATATACAGAATGGTCATTGAATGACTAAAGTACAATTTTATTGGCAGACTCTAATGGCAATCACACACATTTCAAAAGAAATAATGATGGGAAGCTTAAAGTATGAAGAGATGGAAACAATGGACAGCAAGAAAATGTTGGTTTTATCATTAGGGACAGGTATTGGGAAGCACCAAGGGAAGTATAATGCAGCATCAGCTTCAAAGTGGGGCTTACTTGGTTGGGTATACAACAATGGTGACAGTCCAATAATAGATGTTTATAGTGATGCAAGTGCTGATATGGTGGACATACATGTTTCAACCATGTTTCAAACCCATCATAATGAAAAAAATTACCTCAGAATTCAGGTAACAAGGCTAGACTTTACTAAGATTATACAACGACGATAACATAGTCCATATGTGTTTTTTTTCTAACAACTTAAGTTTTTCAATGAGATGACCATACACTTCAATATGATATTAGAGTTGGTACAAAATCTCATCACCACCCATTATCAAAAAGAATTTTAATATGTTTGGTCCATGAAGAAAGAATCAAGCCCGTACTTGAGGAGGACATGTTGAAAATATAATTATTAAGAAAATAAAGGTGTATACTCTTTCAAATGTTGACAGGATGATAATTTGATTGGGGATGCTGCATCAATGGATATAGCAACCACAGAAAACATGGAGACACTTGTGCAAATTGGTAACAATCTATTGAAGAAGCCAGTGTCTAGAGTCAACTTAGAGACAGGCCAATATGAACCAGTTCATGGGGAGGGCACCAATGAAGAAGCTCTTATCCGTTTTGCTTACTTGCTTTCACATGAAAAGAAACTAAGAAGTTAGACTACATTGATTTGGGTACCAAAAATTGGTGAGATTTGTTCTATTAAGTTCCTAAATTGAAGGCTATTTAATTTATTGTAAAGTGAGAATGAATCTCATTATCAATGAATCCATTTCCAAGACAGAGTTGCAAAGGCCGGACTTAGACGCAAAAGCCTCAGAAGGATAGTTCTTGGTCCTTTCTTGTAGGATTTGCACTGCCCCCTTGTTAGTTGCTATGTTTTTCTGCTATTTCTTCTCCCTTGCACTTGGATTTGCTGCACACCCTCCTCAGACCCCACTTGTTGGAATTCACAGGTATGTTGTTGAAGGTATTGTGTAAGGCAACAATAGTGATGTTCCAATCGATATAGTATTCCATTCTATTGTAGGAAAACATTTTTTGTTCTTTATACTTGAAAGAGGTCTATGGTTTTCAAACTTCCCAGCAAATACTTAGAATAATCTACAGACATAGCCTATGGATGTTGTTGACTGGTTTGAACTCTCCCCATTGTCTTAGAATTCTTCTGATGTTCCAATCACCTAGTTTATTACCCATAGGAGCCCCAAACTAGTTCCAAATATACTTAGCAGTTTCCCCTTCACAGAACACATGGGAAATAGTGTCTCTAGAGCAACAAGAGCATCTAGATGCCATTTGATTTCAAAGCTTAGCAATCACCTCCTCTAGAGGAATTTTATGTCTATCGGAAACAGCCTCTCTACCTCACCTCTGAGGTAGAAGTAAGGTTTACGAACACTCTACCCTCCTTAGACCCCACAGTGTCGGACTACACTGGGTATGTTGCTGTAACAGCCTCTACATCAGGAATTAGAATTTGAAAGGAATTGGATTTTGCCATACCTTGCTCAACAATAGATATTTTATCATTTTGAAGCCAGGCAGAAACATTAGAACAGATACAATCTTAGGTTTAAGAGTGGTTTTAGGAGGGTTAATACTTAATAGTAGTGAGAGTATAAGTGGGAATTCACTGTAGAATGCTTTTGATCAGAACAACCCCCCCCCCCCCCCCCCATGCCCCTCGCAATAAGATAACATCCTTCCTTGCCTACTTTAGTAACCATGTTGTCAAAGTATGAGATTTTCTTCCTTCCCATGCAAAGAATGTACGGAAGGGGAAGCTTTTCTCTATGTAACATGTACAATCTCTCATCCTGTTAATCCTGTAGGCACTAGCTTTGGGATCACTGAGAAAGAAGCTTTTGTTGGTGTTGATTTTTCATCTGAACATTTCACGATAGCAAACTAAATCTCCTGTGTGATCATTCCCACCGACAAGATCATGCATGCAAGTGTTTAACCCCTTCAGTGTCATTGATAAAGATACACAGTGATAGACACAACAAGAAAATGAGATATGTAACAGTAGTATCCGGTGTTCTTCATTCATTTTGAAGAACTTATTCGATCCGAGAAAGAACACCGTCATATCAATCCCAACCACACTTGTGTTTTTACGAAAAATTGTCTATAATAGCCCTCAATGCTCCGTAGTCGAAGCCCAACATTGCATAATTTCACTACTGTAAGAGCGCTGCAACTTTAAACATTTTGCATCCGCAATATAAGTGTTTTGAGAAGAGGATTAAGACAATTAATGTTTATGTCCAATAAGACAAGATAAATTAAATGCATAATCAAATAAAGTATGTCTATTGGAATTTGATATTTTTTTCTATAGAAATGGAGTGCCCTCTACGTGACAAAGCCTGGAAAATTGCACGTAAAGTAATTGAACCAAACAAGAATATAGTGCATATCTAGGTTTAGAATGCATCAATAAAAGGAAGAAAAACACTTGTTTATTCAGAAGAGTAATATGCAACAAATATTACAACAAGGTGTCTAGAAATTCGCTTACTGTGGTGTATGTTATTTGTGGATATAGCTGTGTCCCCTCCAAACCACCAGAAGACTCAACGCTGAAGTATGTCTGATCTCCTTTAACAAATGCAGAGTATATGAAAACCAACTCCATATTCTCGGGATATGGGGTATCTCGGATTTTCTTCAAGAGTTCATCTTCAGTGATGTAAATCTTTTTTAGCATCTTCCCAATTTTTCCTTCCCAAATCCCTACCAGCTCATTCATTGAATACACATTTCCCCTTGGCCTCATATATACCACTTTGTTCAGAGTACGTGCATCGTCCACTGTATTTATGACAAAGGCAGCAACATCATTTTCATTCATAAAGACAGCTTTAGCAGTTCCATCACCGAATATGCTGACTTCATCTCTCGGAGGGGCTTTCCGACCTGGTTGAACAAGTGACGGTAGGAGAACACTTGTAAATAAGTTACAACAGACATAGGTGTAAGGAATGCCTTCAGCTTCAATGATACGCCTAATCTCGGATTTTCTCGAGTAGAAGTTGTGGTCCAAATTAGAAACTTGACTTCTGTCAGGATCTGCCCCGAACTCTGAAGGGAGGAACCTTTTAATGCAACCAGCACGCTTTATAGCAGAAATCAGAATCTTTTGTTCGTGGACTTGCTTAGATGAAACAGCACAAATCACGATATCAACTTGCTTGAGTGCTTCAAGCAGGATATCTTCATCTTGCAATGAACCCTTGATTAGTGTGAGGCCCTCTTCGGAAAGGGTATGAATCTTTTGGGATTTATGTGTGTCAGAGAATGCTGAATCTCTAACAAGGCCGAACGTGGGATGAGAGGAATTGAGACTGGCCTTCGCTAGTTCAAAACCTAAACGACCTGTTACTCCGATTAACAGTATTTTACTCTTATTTGATTCCATTCGCCTCCGTTAGCCGTCTCCGGTGAGCTGAGGTTTGAAGACTCCGAAAGCAGAGAAAGTTGGGACAATGAATTAAGGGTTATAGAAAAGTTTCAAAATTAAGGATTGGTCACTCAAGTTTTAATTATTGAGTAGGGGTGATAATTTTTAAATTAAAAATTAAGGGGTTAAATTTTTCAACCCTAAATTTTTTATTTTACACTTTAGTCTATCTTATATAAAATTCTAAATAATAAGAAATTGAGGGGAAAAAAAGAGGGTACCAATGGCTCACTTTTTTGCCCTTTTTCTCTCTTGCTTATTCTTTCATTGTTGGAGACCATTGTTGCTCTTCTTCTTTGATTTTTCATTGTTGGGGACCATTGTTGCTCTTCTTCTTTGATTCTTCTTCTCCATCATCATTCTTTCTTCTTGTTCATCACCATCTTCTTCTGATTGTTCATCATTTTTTTTCTTCAGTTGATATTCACATAGTATTGTTGCTTTTAGACCAATTTTTATTCATATATCATTGGGCTAATTCATAGGTGATTTTGGTAAGTAAACTAATGATTTTTACTCTAATATTTCATTTTGGTAATTTGAGTGTTTCTTAAAAAATTTACAGTCGCGTACCCAACAGGTAAGTCATCTGTTGCAATAGATAGATTACATGTTGGATACATATTATAGTACCATGTCAAGCTGGGACTGAACCAAAAGCTTGTCCCAACAGATAAGTCATTTATTGCAATCGATGAGTCATCTGTTGCAACAGATAGATTACCTGTTAGATACATATTATAGTATCAGGCCAAGCTGGAAAAAAATCAGAAGCTTATCACAACAGATAAGTCATTTATTGCAACATATGAGTCATCTGCTGCACCAGACGACTCATATATTGCAACAGATGGCTTACCCGTTGGATACATGTTACAGTACAGAGCCAAACTAGGACAAAATCAGAAATTTATCCAAACAGGTAAGTCATATATCACAACAGATCAATTACCTATTGCAACAGATGACTCATTTGTTACAACAATAGACTATGTGAATCATATGCTGCAACTGATGATCTACTTGTTGCAATAGATGATTGACTTGTTGGGACAATAATTGTGCATATGATTTTTAATTGTATATAGCCACTCAACTTTACTATACAATCATTAAAACATATTTTTAATAAATTCCTTTAGGTACCATTAATGGAAGAATCAATAACAATAGTTATTGATTGTTATGGTGAGTGGATTGAACAGAACAATTGATTTATTTGGCATTAGAAGGATGGTGACATGTTAGAGTCAATATTGATGACCGTCCAAAGGGATATTTTGTATAATGATTTTGTGAACTTAATCATTAGCTATTGTGGACTAAATTGGACACAAGAGAACAACATGCCCAATTCGAAATGCTCTATAATTATTGTAATAGTGAAATAATTATTTTGTATTTAGTTATGAATCTTATAATTTTAACTCAATTTGGTTAATTGTATATTTATTATATAAAATATATTAGTTATGCTCTTCTATTGCAACAAACTTTGTATATTTTGTATTAGATGCATTATCTATTGCATTATTTGTTGCAATAGATAATTCATCTGTTAAAAATACTCAAATAAATATAATCATCTGTTGCAACAATTATAGGAATCTGTTACAACAAATATCTAATATGTATTACAAGTTGTAATAGATGACCCATCCATTGGGAATAATCAAGCATATATGCTCACCTATTGCAATGGATGCTTCATCTGTTGCAACATATGAGCATGTATGTTTGATCATTTTCAGTCGACTCTATATATATTTGATATGAAATGTTTTATTTGTCCATAATTAGTGATAAATAAAGCTATTCAATTATAAGTTTAATTATAATCTCAATGCATTATAGAGTAATTACATGATCAACTAACTGTGTTCATCTTAAATAAAGTGATCAATTGATTATTTTGATATGAAACGCTTCATTAACCCATAATTAGTGATAAATAAACTTATTTAATTATAATTACTTTTCAATTAATAAGTTCAATTACATTTTCTATGCATTATAGAGCAATTACATGATCAGATAACTGTATTCATCTTAAATAAAGTGATCAATTGATTATTTTGATATGAAATGTTTCTTTAACCCATAATTAGTATTAAATAAAGTTCAATTATAAGTTTAATTACAATAGATAAGTCATCTGTTGAAAATAATCAAATAAATATGATCATTTGTTGTAACAAATATAGAAATCTGTTACAATAAATGTCAAATATGTGTTATCTGTTGCAATAAATGACTCATTCGTTGAAAATAATCAA